ACTGTATTTCATTGATATTTGCAATCATTGTTACTGAATGAAACTGATTCATTCAGTCGTTTGTTGTGGTTATCTGTGATTGGGCAAAACTCATCACATGACACAGATGGGCTGTGATTGGCCCTGTCTGTATCATATGACTGCTTTGACCAGTCACAGCTAACAACATAATTGTATACAATAGATGGCATGACAGGAAGCCATCCATTGTATACAAGTAACATGTTATCTGCTGTGATTGGTCACAGCGGTTACATGACACTGGCAAGGGACTGGTGTAGTGATATGTCATCGACTGTATCCTGTGGACACATCCAGTGACAGCACTACCCCGCAGCCGCGTGAGCGTCTCGTTTTGACAGGACGTCATATGACTCCCAGTTACAACGAGGAGTGTCCCGTCTGGCCTATAGCAGATTGAAGTTGTTAATGTAACCTATAAACTGTACAACTCAGTTGAACAACAAACTGAAATCTTTTAGTGGAGGGAAGTAAAAATCCCCACCCCATTTTCTGGAAGCTCAGACAAGCTGTAGAAATTCTGGACGTAGAGTGCTGTAGAGAAAAGAATACTGCAGATAAACAGATACAACTTATGTAGGAAGATTTGTTTAATTTCTGGGTATCACATGAGGCCAGTCACTTCACTGGGTATATGTAAGGGTTTACAACAACTTTAAGATAAATATTTCAAAAAGTGTTTAAAACTGGGTGTTTGTATGGTCAACTCAAGTTTCCAGCATCAGCCACACTTGTATTTTTGTTCCGAGTGGCAGGGTTGTACCACTTCTCAAAACTTTATAGAGACTTTCTGATTTTGTATCTAACATTTATGCTATAGTCTTGTGAGAGGAGGTGCTGTCTTGTAGCTTGATTATACAGTTATTTGCTGCATCTGTAGTGAGGCATGGCACCAATGCATATATTTGACCTTGTAGGAGTCCTTGCATACATGGATAGATGGGCCTCTTCAGCGTAAATGATGGTGTCTTTCTCCCACCCAGGTGCAGCATACAAACCTACCTTATATATACAATGACTGTGTACTTCTGTACTTATATGGCAATCCCATCGTAAACATAAGTATAATATACCTGTATGGGCACATGCAAAAAAAAGCTAAACATGTTTTTATGATAATCATGACACTGGAAGAACTGGAAATTCAGATGAGAATTTCCTGCCACTGGTGTTAAGATTTATAAAGAGCCAGCATGTAAATCAACTTACCAGCAACTGGTTAGAATTTAAAGTGATAAACCCATAACAAAAAATTTAATATATTGCAGCTTACCGATCATTAGATGTGATGGTTGCATTAATTTTCTTCTTTAGGCTTTTTTTCACTTGTTGATATGACCAGTAACACACCTCGTATATTAGAGTGCCTCCACTCTGGATGAAGGAATGCAGGGGCACTTTTGGACATTTTCATTCTGGGGGAGGGGGGGTGTTAGATGTACTAGCAAATTTAAATACACAATTGAATCCAAGCTCCAGCTATTACTTTAATAGCAGTGAAAGCAAACCGTTGTTTTTTTTTATTTCTTTCGGGGGAAAAGGTTTTATATAAATAAATGAAAATGATCATTGTACGCACCCCTGTCAATGGTAAATGATTTGCCTCATCCCTGTAATGGCTACATCTGCAGGAGACCTTGTTTTTTTGAAAAACAGACTTACTGGCCAGATCACCAACTGAAAATAAAAGAAATGAAGCCTAAAAAAACTAATGCAGCCAACGCATCCAATAATTAGTAAGCTGCAATATAATAAATGTTTGCTACCATTTTAAAGCAGAAATTGCATCAAGCCAAGCTTGGGCCGATGTAGGTTTGCAAAAAATAGAATTCCTGTAGTTCACTTTAGGTAGTGTTCAGGTGCAGTTGGCTTTAAAGAGTTCTAGAATGTCCGACTACCCTGAAAGAAATGATTTTTATTTTCTAGAAATGTGTAGGGTTTTTTTCCAACCAATATATGCAATGTCAATGCACATTACTGTGATTGTGAATACAAAAATCCCCTCTTATTCAGTATCTCTTGCTGAAAATGTTCTAATTGGATATTTAGTGTCATACTGCTGTATATTCAAAGTTGAGTTCCAGATATAGATTTTATTGCTTTGTTACATTGGTTCTGCTTGGGCGACTGTAAATATGCATATGTCCTACCTTTTGGGGCCACTGTAGGATCACTTAGTAGTTGCTGCTATCTTGGGGTCCTGTTAGAAGTAGCTAACTTGTTGCATAATAACAACATTGGTTTCTCACTCGGCATGGGCACCATTAACAAATCAACTTGCAAGAATGAATGCAAGGTATTCTCTGGAGAGGTGGGACAGATGTATCACAATCTCCACCTTGTCTAGTCAGAGAACACTTTGCATTATGTAAGAAAAATACAAGGGGTTCTGTGAATGTCATCCCTACGTAGCGGGAAACCACTGTGGTCAGCAGAGCAGCCATTTGGTACAGCACCTGGAAGACCGCAACAAGCACTGTACTAGCACTACAGTGATTCTGTTCTTCCACAGTGGTCCCCACAGGTATGCTATATGCTTACTTAATAGGTTCAAACTGGACCAACGTATCTATGCAATAAAATCAAAACATGTGAGTTCAGCTTTAAATTAAGTTAGTGGAAAAAACAGCTTTAATGTGAATTATAGGGACACTTGTTAGGTAACTTGGGGGCAAGACCACATCTAACTTCCACAGGAAACATTGACATTTTCCATGTTTCTAATTGTACGGATCAGTTTCGCATGAGGTGTTTTTTTTTTTTTTTTTTTTATAAAGGTAATCTCTGCTCTGTGTGGTTTACTTTATCTTTCATACTATGGGTGTTAAGCCATCAGGTTTTTTTTTTTGTTTTTTTTTATTTAAAAAATTCTCTTGGAAAACAGCACATTTTAAATTTTTATTATATATTAGAAAATTATGTGTTCCACAACATCTGTACCTTGTTAATTTACAGTAGTATATTACAGTAGTGTTTATAAAATAAAACAAAATACCAACATATACCACAATGCTCTTTATTCTACCATAATACTGATCTTTCTTACTGTATATATAGACCACAAAATTCGCCCAGTATGGGATACAACTTTAACAGTGACTTCAAGCATCTCTAAACCAAAAGCAAACCATATTGCTGCCAGAATAAAATATATAGGAGAATGTCAGCATTGCATACTACAGCAGCAAAAGGATGTTTCAATTCCTAGAATATTTTTTTTACAGAGTACTTTTTAGATCCTCCACCAACCTTATGGCCATTATAACTGGAGATAAATCACTGCCTTTATGTCTAATGTTATTAACTTCCGGACTGATGGAAATGTTTTAGGCTACATAAAATAAGCTTTGTGTAATTGAATTAAAAATTCTTTCAGTGGTCCACTTTTGCTAGATCATTATTTACCAATATCTAGTTGGTTGCCTGTCTAATGAAGCATGTAACAATTACTTAGTTATAATTTATAAAAGTACTATTAGAAGAGGCTGACTAATGGAGTCCTTGCGTTTGAACACTTATGAATCCAAGTATTAGAGCAGTTATTGCTCTAATACTTGTCATTTTTGGAGAATGTTATTCAATAATTACAATCCATTTTGACTCAGCCTGACTTTGTAAGTATGATATTATTCTGATTACTGTGAAATGCAGTAAATTTTGAGTGTAGCTGGTTGCTGGTCAGGCTGGTCAAGCCTTTTAGGCTTTTAAACAGGATGGGGGGTTTCTAGATGCCATGAACTAAATGTGTGGCAGCAGCTGAACGTGAGAGCTTACTAGAGAACCCCATTTTTGGGAGAATCACATGATTAAAGTAGAAAATCAAGAAAAACTTTTTGCTAACATGGACAAGTTAGAATTGCTAAAGAAAGGTTCTGTGTCTGCACCATAACAGAAAGTGGGGGAATTCCCTAAATGATAACAATTCAACAACTTTCTCATTTGTTTTGGTTTCTGGGAGAGAAGGTGAGGGAAAGTCTCCCCAAAGGAGATACAGATTCTAATAAAAACTCGGGAGAGGTTCTAACCCTTTCCTGCTCCTGTCGGGGGAAAAGAAGGTTTGGTGTTCCACTCTAAATCCTGAAAGGTTTACTGCTGTACTGATCACTTCTTTTTATTCTGTTATTTCAATAATAACATTTTTCAGTGCTCTACAGATTGCAAAAATTACAAAACCCACAAAGATTAGCCAAATGTAGCAAACAGTAAATCAAAGATGTGTTGGTCTTGTCCACAGAATTTTACAGTACAATGAATTTTAGAAAAAATAAAAGGCTTTATGTTGCTGTGCTGACAGTTCTTTTCTAATGTGCTTGGCTATGTTTTTAGGAGTAGTCTAAAAGATCACTTCTGGCCTCTTCAGTGTTGAAGAGGTTATCCTGCATGCTACAGCTTCACCATCATTTGTGTCTGACACTTCCTCCTTCATGTTGGTTAAATGTGGGCATCTATGCAACCGGACCCAGCTTCACAAGCTTGCAAATTGTAACAATGTTGTTTTTCTGTTTTACATTTTGTGTTTCCTTTCAATTGCCTGTTTTAGGTAAGTCTTTAATGTAAAATGTTTGAGTGTTGTAACTACATTTTGTAATATTCCTCACTGAACTCCTTGGTGCTACAAAAAAGATACATTTTAGGAATCATGTGTGGAATAAAAATGATAGTTTTTTCCACTGTTTTGCAAAATCCCTTTTTTTTTTTTTAACTCATGCCTAGTATTTTGGAAACTATTCACAAGTTGCAGTTGTCTACTGACTTCATAAGGTAATACAGGCACCATGTTTTTCTGTATAGATGTGTGTGTATATTTATATATATATATATATATATTTATTTTTTTTTTATCATCCTGTGTCTTCATGTATTTTTAATATTGGAGGCTTTTTCACATAGAAGATGAATGCATCTCATAAAACATAAAAAATGTTTTTACTTTCTAGGATACAGTGTTTACCTTTCATTCTCAATCTTCCTGCTGTCAGGTTCACGCAAAGAATCCGCTCCCCAGGTTTTACTTCCAGAAGAGGAGAAAATAATTGTAGAGGAAACAAGAAGTAATGGTCAGACTGTTATAGAAGAAAAGTGAGTATGGCTGTGTTACAAATTTATGAATGTTTTCACATTGTTGTCCTATACCTTTGCCAACTGAGCTCAATTCAGTTTTTCCCCTTAAGAGTGGCCCGTTTTTTTTTTTGTTTTTTTTCCCCCTTAAGAGTGGCCACACATGGCCTTGTCCTTGCAAGCAATGCATCTGATTTTAACTGGACCGGCTATAGGCATGGGTGACCTTCACAGTTGAAAGAAAAAGAAGCATTTCCCTTTTCTAGGTACAAGAGTCCCAGACATTGAAAAGTTACTTTTAAGAGCTGCATATGACAGCAGATTTGAAGAAGTTGGCAGTAGTAGAGTGTGCAGTCTCCTTGGGTCCTTCCCTAGCATGTTTTTTTTGTAGGTAACAGCTATACACTAAAGTGCACTGACTATTGGACATTTGATCTAAAATAATATAGAGTGGTAATACTATGATAAAAATTGTATCTCTTTGCATACTGCATCAATGTATTTCTTTAAACAGCAGTCATATTTTCCATTGTTTTCTTTCATTAATGGTTGCTAAAAGTATCCCTTATTCCTAGAAGTAACCCTATTAGCTGTGATTGCAAACTGTTGGGGAGAGCACATATGTTTTGACTGGGTAGCCTTTAGTATTGTATAATGTACTGATTTTCATATATGCCCATTTTCAGGGACAGTTTGTTTTGGGGATTTTGATTAATGATCATTGCTCATCATTACAACACCAGTACTGCATTTCATTTTATATTAATTTTTTAATTTTACAATATTTACCTAATTGTTTTTTTTAAGGGCATTGTCGGTCTTGGGGGAGGGAAGTGTTAGATATACTAGCATATTTTAGATACACTAAAACATTTGAAGCCAAACTTTAGCTAACCCTTTATAATGCTTTCCTTTTGGGATAAAGGTTTTACATAAATAAAACTGATCATTGTAAGCACCCTTGCCAGTGTTGAATGGGATATCTCATCCCTGTAAGGTCTGATTCACACAAGGTGCAGTCCAGTGCTTTTTAATGTGCATCAAAAATGCTTGCACAGTGTTTTCCATGTATTCCAATAGCCCTAGTTCATGCCAGTGCAGTCCGTTCCAATGCGGAAAAAAAAGAACAAGCTGCTTTTTTTCTGCACAGAACTTTACTGGGACAAGGCATCAAAAATGCATCAGAACAGAGTGTGGTGTGAACTGTAAGAAAAAATGCACCTGGAATGCGTTTTTGAGGTGTGAACTGGACCTCTCTGATACATCTGCCAAAGAGCTTGTTTTGTTGAAATACAACAGGCCTACTGGCCAGATCACCAGATGAAAATAGAATTTAAAAAAGCATAGAAAAAAAACTAATACAGTCATCACATCTTTGAATTGGTAAGCTGCAATATATAAATGTTTGATTTGGGGATTAATACTGCTTTAATCGTACATCACAGGAAAGATGGTTATGTATTCTGAATAAATGAATTATGCTGCCACTCTTAGGAGAATTGGACACTGGCAAGGCAAAGCTGTAAGGACAGCTTAATTTAAACCCTCCCACTCCCATCATGCATTGGTTTTCTGCTAGTACCTTTAGGAGAATCAACACCTCTCTGCTTTGAGGGAGGTGAATCCATTTTGACAGTCTGACTCCCTCTTTGTGATGCCTGGATGTCTCCATAGGGGAAACATCCTGCATCTTGTTCCACTATCTCTGTGTGAAAAACAGTTTGGAAAACTTGTTCCGATATGTAGCAACCATCGTTAAGGAATATTGATATTATATCACAATCAATAGTTCAATTAAATTCTCCATCATGAACCCATCATAGAGCAGCAACAATATTGGCAGGAAGATTATCCACACTAATGGGGGGCTTCATGGGGAGGATAGCCAAGAGGACTAAATCTTATTCAATTTATTCAAACAGCCCCTATGCTTATAAATGAGTTGCTCTTTATCTAACATAGCATTCACCTCTCCATTGGTCACAGGTTGGAAAATTAGGAGAGAGACAACTTTGAGAAATCAACTTATGGGCAGAAAATAACAAATGGGTAAATAACATTTTCTGGGGAAAAAATGGCCAAGAAAAAAGTTCCAATAAAATTTTAAATACACCTTTCCAGTACCAAAATAATTCAGGACAATGCCATAACATGTGAATTAATGTGCCTGTCTGCACACTACACTGAGAGCATTTAGGTGAAGATTGGAGACCCCAAGAAAACAATTTGAGGGGTATATTAGACTCTGGAGTATTAAAAGCTGTGGCAGCATTTGAGAAGGGGAGACCGAAACTTCTGGAAGGAGCTCTAATGCCGCTGTCCACTGATCCTCGTATAGATCGCCTATATCTTGATTCCATATCTGTCTACATCTAGTCAAGGTTTAGAGCTAATTGCCCTCCAATAAAGCTTAATATAAATCACCAATAAAACCCTTTTTAGAAACCGAGATCACGATGATAGATTGTTCGGAAAAATAAAATGTAAGGGATTCAACTGAGTCTGAGACTGTAGTGCATATCGAAGTTGTAAATGCTAGAAAAAAAAAAAAACTTTAGCAGTCTCCTCCAATGTCTCTATATCCTTATCATTCCCTTCTGTGTCAGCCTCCTCCAGGGCAAGCATATCTTTTGACCTTATTGTAGAGCAGTACCACTTGTCAAATAGAGTATTTCACCATCATACTCTTATACACCTGAAGAGGGTTCTTCACGAAACACACCTAATAATGTTGATAAGATCACTGCTGCTGTGAGCAAAAGCCTTGGCATTATAAAACTTGATGCTCCTCTATCTCACCAAGATCCTTTTGAGTACAAAGAGACCTGCAAAATCTATATAGACATTCCCCCTGTTCATGACGGTTAGAATGAGAAATCTATGATGGTTGGACCATGCCAGAAAAGAATTTCACTCTATCATATGGAAAATAAAGTGCACTAAAAATTAGTGTGTCCCTGTATTCGATCCTGCCAAACAAACTTATTTTTTAAATCTTGTAGGCCCAAACTCTCACTGCAATTTCAGTATTTTAAACAGGATATGAAGTGGATGGCCCCACATTCTAGTAGGATGATTCCAGAATTCTTTATTGTGACAAATTGAAGATAAAATCACATCAAAGCACTAAGATACACAGAAGAGCAGTTAATCAAGTATGTTAAACTGCAGCAAACTGGACTAAGACCATGAAAAACCAACATGATCCTGTTTTTCAGGACAGAGCTTTAACAGAGCACTTGCAGCAATTACCTTCTGCTCTTTTGTGTGAATACCCTAGAACATGTGACGAGACAAATTTCCAAAAGGGCTGTAATCTCCATTCACATGTGCATATTCTTGTGGCTCAAAGCCTGAGCAGCTGAAGCTACTTGTAGAAAGCACCTCACACCTACTCCCTTTTCTAGGTAGATGTCTTTTTTGGGGAGGCACTTGACAAATTCATAAAAGATCTTACATAGTTAGTCTGGCTGAAAAAAGACAAAAGTTCATCCAGTTCAACCATTAAAAAAAAAAAAAAAAAGTTATAATCCTATACCCACAATTGATCCAGAGGAAGGGAAAAACCCCCAGCAAAACATGATCTAGTTTGCTCCTGCAGGGAAAACAATTCCTTCCTGATCCCCCGAGAGACAATCGGATATTCCCTGGATCAACTTTACCTATAACTGTTAGTATCCAGTTATATTCTGTGTATCTAATAAAGAATCCAGGCCTTTTTAACCACAAGGCTACAGGGCACTTATACCCCCTTCCTGCCCAGGCCAATTTCCAGCTTTTAGCGCTGTTGCACTTTGAATGACAATTGCGCGGTCATGCAACACTGTACCCATATGAAATTTTTTATCATTTTTTGTGACAGATAGTTTCATTTTGGTGGTATTTAATCACCTCTGGATTTTTTATTTTTTCTTAAACATACCAAAAACCACTGAACATTTTGAAAAAAAAAAAACGTTTTTGTAAATAAGTGATTTTTCTCTTTCACTGATGTGCGCTAATGAGGCTGCAGTGATGGGCACTGATAGGCTGCACTGATGAGGAAGCACTGGTAGGTGGCACTGATGGGCATTGACAGGCATCACTGATGGGCACTGATAGGCGGCATTGACTGGCTCTGTTTGGCGGCACTGATGCGCACTGATAGGCAGCACAGACTGGCGCTGATAGGTGGCACTGATTGGCAGCACTGATAGGTGGCACCGATTGGCATTGATAGGTGGCACTGACTGGCACTGATGGGTGACACTGAAAGGCAGCTCAGATGGGCACTGATATGTGGCATTGATGTGCACTGGTAGGCACTGATATGTGGCATTCATGTGACACTGATGGGCACTGGCACGTGGCACTGATGAGCACTGACAGCTGGCACTGATGGACTTTGACAGGTGGCACTGCTGGGGCTACACTGATCATCAGTGCTCTGATGATCAGTGTACATGTCCCCTCTGTGGAATGCCGATTACCGTCTCTCCTCGTGACAGCTCGAGAGGAGAGAAACGCCGATAACCAGCATTTCCCTGTTTATATGTGATCAGCTGCGATTGGACACAGCTGATCACATGACCGAGCCGATCTTCAGCTCTTTCCATGGATCGGTGATCCGCTGTGTCTGAGGGACACAGCGCACCGCCGATCACTGCGCATGCATGGTTAGAATGGGAGGACGTCATATGACGTCCTCCCAGAACGTGAGAACCACCTTGCGTCCATCATATTACTATATCGCAGGCGGGAGGTGGTTAAAGCAATCCACAGAGCTGGCCAGAACAAACTCTTGAGGGAGTCTATCCCACATTTTTACAGCTCTTTACTGTGAAGAAACCTTTCTGTGTTTGGAGATTAAATTTCTTTTCCTCCAGATGTAAAGAGTGCCCCCTTGTCCTCTGTGATGACCTCAGGGTGAATAGCTCTACCCCAAGTTCACTATATGAACCACTGATGTATTTATACATGTTGATCATATCCCCCATTAATCTCCTGTTCTCAAGTGAGAATAAATTCAGTTCCTTTAATCT